TCTGGGGTCCCAAGACTCTGCACTCATTTTGGGACCCCAGGACTCAGCCCAGGGCCTGGCTTGTGGTAGATGCCAAATCAGGCTTTATGGAATCCATGAACCTAGGGCAGCAGCATCTTCTAAATGTTACCTACAAAACCGGTCTTGAAGGATGGGAACAAGGCATCCCATGCCACATGGACAGCTTTCCAGACAAAACCCTGATGCCCGAGATGTTCTCACGTGCTGTGCCACATCCACAGTGCTCAAGTCTGAGCGGAACTGCAGAGAGAAACTTCTCTGAAGCAGACGGCAAATACTAGTCATGTGCCAACTCTTCGGGGCTAACGTTCTACAGCAAGACATTTATGTCCTCATCTCCAAAATACTCTCCTCCAAGGCCCCCTGTGCCCATGGAGAGTGCTCACAGCCAGCCCCAACCTGGCATCATCCGGGGAGGCCTGAGCTCTAACAGCAGCACTGCTGACAGCTGAACAGGGCTCTTCCTCAGGGATGTGAGCCAGAGGCAGGGCTGGACCCAAAAATCAGCAGTCTGCCCTCCCAGCCCGGCCCTCAGGAGCCCTCAGAGACTGAGGCAGCAGCTCTCGGGCCTGCTGGGCCCAAACCTGCTGTCGTGTTCCCAGAACCTGCCAGGGCAGAGGGCGGCCAGGCTTCCCTGGTGGCACTGGGAGAGCACCGTGGCCTGAAGCCTCGGCTCTCTCTGTGCCCCAGCCTCCAGAGCCAGAGGCAGGGCCCGGAAGTGGAGATGTGGGGGTGCGCCTGCAGGCTCCCCAAGTGAGAATGAGCTAGAGGACTTGCCAGAAGCTTCCCTCGCTGGGAAGCCTGTGGGCAGGATGCCCAGGCTCAAACTTCAACCAGCTGGCAGCTAAAGGAGTCACCCTCTTGGGGAAACACCTCCACTCGGCCTCAACCTATCTACTCCCACATGACTGCTCAGCCCCAAACAGGCCCTTGACTCCAAAGAGGTCAAGACACTCAGCCTCTGCAGGACCATGCTCACTGCAATCTGCACACGCTGTTCCAGCCTAGAATGCTGTCCCTCCCCTGGCTCCCAGCCCTACCCACCCCACATGCCTTCTCAGGTGAGGCCAGCAGCAGGGCCCTCTCTGAGCGCCACGACACCGAGGGCAAAGCTGTGGCTTGGCCTCACTGCCCTCATTCTCCATGGAGGCCACCGTCCTTTCTCCTCCAGCTCCTCCACTGTGGGGATCAGCTCCCCACCCTCCTCGCTTCTGAGTGGTTTCCTACCATGTTGCAGTGTTGGGGATACAGAAAGCGTCCCCTCCAAATACCCACTACTTCCACTACTTCTGGCTGATATGTCCCTGCGAGTAATCTCTCTTCCTCCCAAGAGCACCGCTTGTTCATTCATCCATCTGGCGAACATCTGAGTGCTGAGTCAGCACCAACCCTGCCCATCTTCCATGCCACCTTTCCTGCTCCCTCCTCCAGGGGAGCCCCACTGCCCCCCCGTGTGCCCCAGCAAATTCTACAGCGCCTCCCACAAGGATCTCTGTGTCTCCTGCCTCAGGGAGCTTACTTCCGAATGTCACAGCCACAGGCTCCTGCAGGGCAGGGCCACGTCTCTCCTGTGCAGGCACACAGCCAGCATGCAGAAGCAGCCAGCATGACCCAGTTACGCACTGGGTTACTCAGTCAGCACCTTGTGGTGGAAAGGGGTAAAATCAGGCACAAAAGGCCTTCCACCTTGAGACTTCAATGCTTTCCTTAGATTTGTACAACAGCCCTGTGGAGTCACACCCGTGAGAAGTGGCCTTCCACGGGAAAGAGGGACCTTGCCGGCAGCCTGGAGACATGCAGCTGGCAGCGTGCACTTGGGTCACTCAGAGCTGGCTCGGCTGAGCAATCACACCTCCACTCAGGGCACGGCCGTCAAGTGGGCGGGGGAGAGGCACTGCTGACCTGTACGAGCTGAAGAGCAACGTCAGGGACAGCACCACCAGATGAGCAGAGCCTGTCTAGAAAATAAGCCCATTTGCCTTTGTATCGTTCGGACGAGAAATGTTCTTGTCTACTGACATCGCAGTTAAGAATTTAACAGGGAGCCTAGGGGTTTACATCAGTGACAGGGCTTGTTCAAGCCACTTGACTTAATATATGCTGACAATACACACTGCAACTTTCACCTACATTTTATTTTTTTAACAAGCAGCTGAAGACTTCTGCAATAGAACTATATTTAGCTACTTAATTTTTCCACAGAAGTTTCTGACATCAACTGGGTAATTAAGACAGTGCTGACCAACACACCCCACAGGAACAGATTGTACATTGTGTATATGTGTGTGTGATGACCCCCACCCCTCGCATCAGAGGGACAGAGCTCCCAGCCGGCACCTGTCTTGATGCCTGACGCCACTTTACATGTATTCATTCCCTAACTTGGGCTTCCCTGGTGGCTCAGGTGGTAAAGAATTCGCCTGCAATGCAGGAGACCAAGGTTCGATCCTGGGGTTGGGGAGATCCGCTGGAGAAGGGAACAGCTACCCACTTCAGTATTCTGGTCTGCAGAATTCCATGGACTGTATAGTCCGTGGGGTCACAAACAGTTGGACACGACTGAGTGACTTTCACTTTTACTTCCATTCCCCAACTCTCACAATGCTAGGATGTGGCTACTATTATTATCCCCATTTTACAGACTGGGAACTTTGAGGATAAGAGAAAGCAGTCCCTTGCCTAAGCCACACACACACACACACACACACACACAGCAGTGACAGGGCAGGGAGCCACACCCAGACCGCTCGGTTCCCAAGCCTGTGTCTGAGCCTGTCTTTGCAGGCCCACCCCTCACAAGGCCTTGTGTGCGCTAGCCTCCCTGTGCTTCAGGCCGGCGCTGACTGAGGCCAGTGGCACTGTCACCACAGTCACCAAACAGGAGGTTTCCCCATGACTGTAAAGGATTCTGCCGATAGTTTCAGATCAGTGTTGAGATGGGCGAGGACCTGCATTTCTAAAGGCCAGCTTCACAGGAGCTCACAGGGAGGCTCTGCAGTCAGCGCCGGGTCCCCGAGGGCTTCCACGGGCTCCAGGGCCCAGCAAGCGGGGCCCCAGCTGTGCGTGAACCCAGACCTGCCTATGGGCCATGCAGGTCCTGAATCCCAGTCACGTCCCCGAGGCACCTCCACCTGCGGCTCAGAACTCCCTGTTCTGATCCAGCTTCACTACCAACCCACCTGCAGGCCGTAAGAGTGCACCTGACCACTCCAAGGGCCCGCTGCTGCTGAGCGGCTGGCATGTGCCCACAACTCTCTGGCTGCCTTTGCTGAGGTGCTTCCCAGATCACACGTGCCACTCTGGCTACCAAGACTGAGCTCCAGCCCGGATCCCCACCAGGAAGGCTACCGAGGAACAGGGACTCAGGTGGTCACACTTTTCATGTGAACTCACGGGGCCCAGCACACAGTAGGTGCTCAATAAACACTGACTTCTAATAGAATGACGTAGTCAGCTAAAAGGCAATGATGACCTTTCCCCCAGTACACAGAGAAGAAAAGTGCTGAGAGAAGTTTGAGCTGGGCTCCTGTGATCACTTGTCTGTGTTAGACTGTAATATTGATAGTGTTTGATGTCAGACACAATCACACACCTGATTAATCATACACCTAATTAATCTAAGTTCCCAGAATTTCTCTGTGCTTGTCTCCAGCAGACCGCAGGCTCCACCATGGGGCTCTGCAACACTTGGGCCTTTTGTCTCAGGAAAGCACCGCAGGGCTCCGATGTTGCCATTCTTGTTTCCTGGTGGCAGCCTCCCTTGAAGACCAGTACCATCATCCCTCTTAAGAGTTGAAAACCCTGAAGCTCAGATCAGTCAAGCAACTTGCCCAAAGTCACACAGATGGCTAGTAATGGCACAGCTGAGATCAGAACCCAGAGCTTTCCAATTACAAAGCCAGTGCTCTTTCCACTAAGCCCACAGCTGCTGGGATGGTTCCAGGGGTTTTGACACATGTTTAGTTGCGAAGTCGTGTCCAACTCTTTTTTTTTTTTTTCGTGTCCAACTCTTTTGTGACCCCGTGGACTGTAACCCACCCAGGCTCCTCTCTTCATGGAATTTCCCAGGCAAGAATACTGGAGTAAGTGGCCATTTCCTTTTCCAGGGGATGTTCCCCACATCTCCTGCATTGGAAGGTGGATTCTTTACCACTGAGCTACCTGGGAAGCCTAAGTAGCCACATAAACAAGATTTCATGGACTCCGTTTTATCCAGCAGGTAACAAGTAAGTGCCCAGTGGCTCAGCGGTAAAGAATCTGCCTGCCAATGCAGCAGATGTGGGGAAGATCCCTGGGTCAGGAAGATCCCCTGGAGAAGGAAATGGCAACTCACTCCAATACTGTTGCCTGGGAAATCCCATGGATACAGGAGCCTGGTGAGCCATGGGGTTGCAAAGAGTTGGACATGACTGAGCAACTAAACAACACAAAGAAATAAGTGGGACTCAGGAAGAAGGACCTCCATTAAAAAACAAACAAAAAAAACCCAAGCCACAACATAATCTGATTAGGAAAGGAATTCGTTGCAGGCACAGACAAGAAGATGCTCCAAGAAGTTCAAGGGCAGTTTGTTCAGCCTCCTGGCCACTTGTCTGCATTGCCCAACATGATATCACATCACCACCATCCATTTTTCTACAAAACTCAAGAGTAATGCCACTTCTGAGACCAAGCCTGGTAATCAGTGTATGTAATTTCAAGTCACAGCAGGGTTAGCATGGAAAGGAAGCAATGAGGATGGACAACCTGATAAGACCTTAATGAACACCTCTAACCTCTTCTGTTATCAAACTTTTCTAGCATGGTAAGCTTACCATCCTCACAGAGAGCTAGGCCATACTCGCTGCCACTTAGATCGGAGGCCTGGCTGGTTCTGGTGTATGTTAATCTCATCACCCCAGCCCTAGTCAATAAAGAGGGGGTGTTAGGCACCACTGGCTTGGTCTCTGCATTCATCTGGAAGAAACCATGGGCATTACCTCCCAGAAGCTGTCGCTGGACACTTCGACTCCAACGGAATCATCGTAAGTGACAGACATCTCTCCAAACGGTGAGGGAGCAGCAGGGAGTGCTTAAATTAGAGGTCCGCTTCAGATGCTCAAAATCTGTGGACACACCTACAAAAGAAAAAACACAACATTGCAGGTTTTAAATCCCCCACTATAAGGAGGCAAGCTGTCTCCATTTCACAACTCCCATTTCCGTGACCGCCTTCAGGGCAGCACCATCTGCAGTGCCTCCTTCAGGTGGGAGAAAGCCAACACACTCCAAACTCAGCACTGACATATGTGTGCGTGTTATATGTGTAGTGTGTATTTCACATCAACAAGTAAACCTTTGCAACATCTTACTGAAGACTTCGAAGAGCTTTCTGAAGAACAATCTGCATACTTATATCAACAGGCTGATAGCCTTAATGCCTCATCCCTTGGAGAAAGTGGCAGAGACCCTGTGAGGATAACAGGCAAAAGCAGAGCTGCTGCCTCTCTGGGCTCACCCTGTTTCAGCCTGTCCTACTCATCCCATAGGACGAGGACCTGGGGCAAAATGTGAGTGGAAATAATCCACCTTTGACACCTGACTCCACTCGCCAGTTCCCACCGGGCTCTGCTTGTCTTGGGCACAGTTTCCCTCTTCCCGTGACTGGCTGATCTCAGCCACTGAGGCCCCGGATTCAGACTGGTTTACTCTGACACAGTCCGTGTGAGGGTCAGCTAGAAAGACTGAAGACAAACAAGCTAAAGTGCTTGTCTCTGAGCAATGATTGAATGATCTAAATCCAAGTGAGGGCAACAGGGTGATTATTTCCCCCGCTAGGAGGAAGAAGCTGAAGGACTCCTGCTGCGCTCACAGGCACAAATCACACTGATGGAATGGCCCATCCACAGCCCCATGAGATTCCCTGACTTCTCAGTGACAGAGCGAGACTCCAGCCTCCTTCACAGCACCCTGCATTCAGATCTCACAGCCAGAGATCTGACACGCTCTTACCACAGTCAGGAGACCGCTGAGCTGTGGGAGGGAGAAGGCAGAGTGATCTACAACGTTACACTTACAGGGTGCCAGACTCGACTCTAGGCACCTTCTCATGCTATCACACTTAATCCCGTGATTCCCTGTGAGACAGTCTAGAAGCACAGGAAGGAGCACGAGCTGCCTGGGCTCTAGTCCCAGACGTGCTACTCATTAGCCAGGCAACAGTGGGCAGGGTACCTAACCTCTCTGTGCCTCAGTGGTCTTATCTTGTAAACAAGAGACAATAATGTAACCCGTATCACAGAATTACTGTGAGGGTTCAACACGGCTGGACATACAGGGGCAACACTGCATGCTCCCGAGTAAGTGACACATACTAAGTCACACTGTAATTATTATTAGATAGTAGGTATAATCACTTTCATCTATACTTTACAGCTGATAAAACCGAGGTTAAGGGAGGCTAGGTAACTGGTCCATGGTCACCCAAGCAGGACACCAACTGTGCCTGCTTATGAAGGTACTGTTCTCTATCATACTAAGAGGCTTTCTAGAAACAATCTCAAGTTTAAATAAACCAGGTGTCTTAAACATAAGATCTAATGGGATTAAAAGGTTTAATCTGATGGATTTCCAGCTTCTAAACTTGAACACAGCCCCCTATTCTCAATACACTTAAAGAGCAAGTTATGGTGCCTTGTGGTCAAGCACCCCACACGCCTGCACTCCATAACCAGACAGAGTGGCCTGAGTGCCACACATACTCTACCTGGCAGGACACGGGCAGGACCTCTGCTCCACAGTCACAGAGGCAGCGTGTCCTCTTGACCCTGGATATCGCAATGGCTGGGCAGGCTTCGCAGGCCAGGGCCCCAGTGCTGCATCTCACAGTATTCCTTTCTGGTGGGATCCCATGCTCTGAGCCAGGGCTCTCCTAGAAGCACCCCAGCCCACAACTGCAGCAGCAGAGAGTTTTCTAACCAGAGCAGCTGGTCTCTGTTTCAGGCTTCTCAGGGAATATCTGAGCTCTGGCTCAGGCGAGTCTCAAAGTGGCCAAATCTAGCCACTGGCTAAGCTGCTGGCCAGCCCCGGGGAGCAGCTGCAGGGAGAAGGTGCAGGGGAGAGCGGGTGCCTGCTCTGGGCAGAGAAGCAACTTGACACCTGGAAAAGTTCATTTTCAGGAATTCATTTTTTGCCTGGGTTCAGTCCTGGCTTAGACACTAACAGAAGATCAGTTCTACACAAGATTGATTAAGAGCCTGTGAAGTGCCAGCATATTAAAAAGCAGAGACATCACTTTGCTGACAAAGGTTCATATAATAAAAGTTATGATTTTTCCAGTAGTAATGTATGGATGTGAGACTTGGACCATAAAGAAGACTGAGCGCCAAAGAAGTGATATGTTCGAATTGTGGTGCTGGAGAAGACTCTTGAGAGTCCCTTGGACTGCAAGGAGATCAAACCAGTCCATCCTAAAGGAAATCAACCCTAAATATTCATTGGAAGGACTGATGCTGGAGCGCCAATACTTTGGCCACCTGATGCAAAGAGCTGACTCAGTGGAAAAGACCCTGATGCTGGGAAAGATTGAAGGCGGGAGGAGAAGGGGGCGACAGAGGATGAGATGGTTGGGTGGCATCACCAACTTGATGGACAAGAGCTTGAGCAAGCTCCAGGAATTGGTGATAAGACAGGGAAACCTGATGTGCTGCAATCCATGGGGTCAGAAAGAGTTGGACATGACTGAGTGACTGAACTGAGCTGACCTGACCTGGGACCTTATCTTCCCATCAAAAGTGTAGAAAAAACAAATTGAGACTTGAGAACAAGAAAATCGTAAGTGTACAAATCATCAGCCCTTCTCCTCCCACTGCTGAAAACACATCCGTGGTGCCCCATGTGTAACCTGGGTACATAGCAGGCCCTCAGAAGATGACTGCTGAATACATTCTAAGAGACTTTCTTCAGGAATCCAGACATGACTGAGGTGGGGGAAAGAGTTCCCAGATCTCTGGGTTCCAGTGACTTCAGCTGCTGATGGATGTAAACACTGTGAGTCAGTACGTACTAAGTTGCTTTAGTCATGTCTGACTCTTTGCAACCCTATGGGCCATAGCTCACCAGGCTCCTCTGTCCATGAGATTCTCCAGGCAAGGGTACTGGAGTGGGTGCCATGCCCACCTCCAGGGTCTTCCCAACCCAGGGATTGAATCTATCTCATACGTCTCTTAGCAGATGGGTTCTTTACCACTAGTGCCACCTGGGAAGCCCCTAGTCAGAGCCATTCCTAAAACAGTGGGCAGAATCTCAAAGATTAATGGAGGCTGCCAAGGGTGCCCTTGGTCCAACCTGAGAGCTGGCATAACTTCTCTCCTCCCATCTGGGCCTGATTAAAGATATCAGGTAAGCAACCGTACACATTACATAAGTACATTCAGCTCCCCCTTAATGCCCTTAATTTGTTCCAAGAAATAAAAACAGAACAAGTCATTAGGTCAAAAGGCTATTACTACAAAGCAAGAACATTCCGAGAAAAGGCGCATGTAGCTTGTGCGTGCATGCTAAATCACTCAGTCGTGCCTGACTCTTTGCGACCCCATGGGCTGTAACCCGCCAGGCTCCTCTATCCATGGGATTCTCCAGGCAAGAACAGTAGAGTGGGTTGCCATGCCCTCCTCCAGGGGATCTTCCTGATGCAGAGATCGAACCCATGACTCATGTCTCCCACATTGGCAGGCAGGTTCTTTACCATTAGCGCCTCATCTACCCTCAAAGTCGGCATTGGAGAAGCCATCTCTAATCCTCTGTGACTTTAGAAGGCAGAGAAGAAGGGAGGCATCCTCGCTGTTGCCCACAGACAACACTAGCCTGGCCTGTGCTACCCTGCAGGCCTGGTCGTGAGCACATGCTGGGTCTAGGGTTTGTTCCTCCCTCCTTATCCAGGGTGGGAGATTCTTCATTGATTAATGAAGTGACTACAATTTCTTCTAAGCCACTATCTGGCCCAGAGTGAGGAGAGAATCATTCCTTCAGTAAGGAGTGGATTTCCCATTCATTCTACAAACTGGTGTTTGAGAACTTATTATGTGCCAGCCACTCTAAGCCCCATGGATGGGGCAACGCACAGGACTGACACAGTCCCTGCAGGCCCAGGCCTGGTATCCGAGTAGGGCAGACTGACGCACAGGAAAGTGAAAACAGCTGCGAGTCTGAACAGGGCTAGAGCAGAGATAAATGAGGTGCTATAAGAGAGTGGAGGAAAGCTCTTATGGAGGCAGAATGGTCATGCCTCTCTGAGGACCCAAGGTGGAGAGCAAGTGGGTGTGTAAAAGACAGGGGAGGGGTCTTTCCAGCAGAGGGCAGCCCCTGGGAACAAAGGTGCCAGCAGCAGCCACAACAGGGCAGGAGCCCACAGACCTGCCTGAGGCGGCACTGAGGACTCCAGCGGGGCTGGAGCTGCAGGGTAACCAGGATCTTCTGTCTGCTAACCGGTAACAATTCAAGCCTCAAGTAGCTGTGAGACGCACTACTGAAAATCAAGCACGCATATGCATGGTCTTCCATACCTGTCCTAACCTGCGCTACCTCATAGCCTTTGATCCAACTAGTTCTTCTAAAACTTTTCCTACAGATAAACTCACCCAAAGGTCAAAGGTAGGTATTCACGGTGGTATTGATTTTAATAGCAGGAAGAATAAGATACCGAAAGCCATCTCACTGTGCATCAAGAATCAAAAGTGCTGATACAGCCCTGGAGCGGAACACAGGCAGCCAGAGGAGAAAGGGCAGCGGACTGTGTGTATAGCCACGGATGAAAGATCCAACAGTGTTCCTGCATATCAAGTGGAATGAAGTGTAACACCATAGATACAGTCTGATCCCACTGGTATTAAAACACAATCGGGGGACTTTCCTGGTGGTCCAGAGGTCAAGACTCACACTCCCAATGCAGGGGGCCCAGGTTCGATCCCTGGTAAGGGAACTAGATCCCATATACCAGAGCTAAGACCCAGCGCAGCCAACCCCCCCCACCCCACCCGCCCACATAATCAGGTACCCACCA